TTTGAAGACAAAATATCTTTATTTTCAATTTTGTAGTTGTAGAAAAATGAATAATAGTAGTTTTCTAGTAATTTTGAATTGTCATGTGTTAGAATTTACACAATATTAAGAATTCCTTGCAAATGGACTGCTCGTGAATTGTTGGGTAATTTAAGAATATAATAGCTCTGCCTGTGAACCTTAGCAAAAGATTCCAATTCCAACCTGGATTTGTCCTTTTTAAAAACAGAGCATGTTACTGAATTCTGTGGCAGAATGTCATTTTCGTATACGTTTTTGAATTTTCAAAAAACAATGATTTGCATTGTTTTTAACCTTTCACTTATTGTTTGGTTGCAAGCTCTTAAAGTAATAACTGAAGTGTTAGTAATATTAATATTGAAATTTTATAACATGTGACTTTTTTTTACCTAAATGTTTTTCAAATAATGCTTCAGTTTTTTTCTTTAATCTCTTTGCATGGAGATTCGTAAATACAATGAATAACATCAACACAGTTTTATTGTGCTTTTTATTTTCAGCTTCAATTTTTTCTTGAAACATTTTGTAAGGAAAAAAATGTAAGAAAATGTGAAAACATTTACATGGTTTTTGATAAAATAATTTTGCCAATGTAAATATTACATGAAAGTGAACAAATTATTGTGTTAACTGATAGGCGCTGTACGTGATTTGTTACATTTGGTGTAGATGTTAGCTAATTTCGAAAACATATTGTTTACTGAGTGTTGTTGTTGTTCATAGATGAATTGTTTGTACTGTTGCTATGAAAATGAATGGTTTCAGAATGCTTCAGATACATACATTCAGTATTACAAAGCACATTAAAGGCATTGTATGCATACAAAGGTCATTCTAGTTATATTAATGATGTTATCAAATCTTTTTATTTCAAAACTATAACTTATTTACAATTAGGACAGTCAAGAGATTCAACTTTGTGAGTCAGGAGCTTGGATCTGATGAGTCAGTCCATGAACACTTAGGCTCTGGATTTGAAATCCATGATCATGAATGTTTTCAGTTGTGTCTGAGGCGTGGGGCCAATCCAAATTTTGTTCATCAAAGTTCTGTTCTTTTTCAACAAACAACAAGAAAACATAGATACAAATATTGAGGGGGGGGGGGAAGAAGTACAATGGCCAAATATATAAAGGTACAGTACTGAGGTAGGCCTATTTGATGTTCGAGGTGAGCCAAGGTGCTCTTCATTGCCTCTGCCACTGCACTGAGGAGCAGTAGGTATCCTGAGAGGCCCTGGGAGACTATTAGATGTTGAGATGATTAGGAAACTAACTAGTACAAAAAAATCTTGGCCCATTTGCAGTACCACTTGTTTTATTGCAATATATTGAAAACATTTCTGGTGGCAATATAGATACATTGAAGCAAAAATATTGATAGTTTGATAATAACAGTAAGACATTGGCATCTGTCTATAAAAATGGAAAGATTGTTTTAATGTGTATGTATAGATTTGTTAGTTATGCTAGATCATAAAGTTTATTATCAATAATGTCCCAATACTGAAGTGACCATGAATCATGTTTTTCTTTTTTTTTCTTTCAAGGAATCATATTTGTTGATCAATGACCAAATTGATTGGTATATATCCATGAATAATCTTATACATTCCTTATATTTGCTTTGCTCTTGGTTGAATTTTTATGTTGTAATATTGATTTCAGGGAGGTGAGGCTGAGAAAGGAAAGAAGAGAAAACGCAGTTCTGATGCTAATGTAGAGTCACCGAACAAGAAAAAGAAGAAACATTCATCAGAGATGTATGAACAATCACATTTGAAAGATGTTCTGCCACAGTCACAGAGCATATCAGTTGATGTTAATAGAAGTATGACTTCACCAAGAGCTGAAAATATTTCTTTTAACAAGAAAAAAGAGATGAGTAAACACAAAGAAATTTGTGATGAATCATTGAAAAGGTTAAAATCACCAGTTAAAATTCCAAAAGTGAAACAAGAGATTACAGAAAATGATAGTGAGAGGATGGAACATTCTTCTTTGAATAATCTATCTGGAAGTTCTAGTGATAGAAAGCAGAGGAGACACAAGAAGAGTCATGTTGAACACGAAGTGAAAGATACTTTCTTTGAAGTGAAGCAAAATGAAAGTAGAGAAACTAGTGATAAAAAGAAGAAGAAAAAAGGCAAACAAAGCAATGAAAGTGTACAGAGAGAAACATTCCAGGAACACGAAAAGAAAATAGAACTTGCTTCTCCACCTAATTCATTCACAGGAACTGAAAAACCAATTAAGATGGAAAAGAAACATTCACAACAGAGTGAAACATCCTTTGAAAATACAGATGGTGAAGTAAGGAAAAAGAAGAAACATAAACATCATAAACACAGAGGGGAAGATGAAGTACCTGCCCAAGAAACCGAGAAAGATATTTCAGTCAAAAAGAAAAAGAAACGTAAGCACAAAGAGTCTGATGTACCCAAAGTAAAGCACGAGAATTTTTGGGAAAGGGAGACAAGTCCAGATTTCTTGAGCCACTTATATCTTACACAGGCTACTCCTGAAGATATGTAGGAATTTTTATTCTGAGTGTGGGAGGCATTGATTATGGCTATTATAAATTGCTGAATGATTGCATTTAGGTTAAAAATTACTGCCTTGGTTGAGGTAGTGAGGGAGAATTATGTTCATTGGGATACAAATTGTTCCTATGTATAAAACTTGTTGAGGGTATATTAATAGTTCAGAAAACTGACAGTAGTCAAGGATTTGAATGTTTACAAAAACATTAATTGTGAAAGATTGACCTTTCCCTCCTAAGGACCAACACAGGACCTCTGTGAAATTTCTACGTAACCCAACTGAAACACTGGCGCTTTTGACCTTCTTGCAATGAAAAGCATCGTTACTTTAGGAGAAAATCTGCCAATATAGCCACAAAGGGATATTTTGTAGAACCTTTTCCTGTTCTCACTTATCTCTCTGGTGGTTCTTTAAGAAGAAGCTAGCTGTGTAAATGGCAAATGTGTGGGCTCTTTCTGAGAATGTATGTCTATGCTGGTTCAAATGATAATTTTGATTGCTGAATGGAACAAAAGGGAAGTAGATATGTATATATGAACATATGTAACCATAAAGTTGTACATAACAAAATTTTCACATTTGTATGTGTATGGGAAGGAATTATCTGTAGGAAAATAGCATTTTCTGAATTTCAGTTCAGTGAAGAAATGTTATCTTACTTTGCTTAACGATTATTTCTCCTAGTTACCTGAATATGTATCTCCTAGTTACTTTTTGTTCCTTTGAGAAGGCTTTGAATGTAGTTGTTGCATTCATTTTCAGCTTCTCTTATATCTTAGACTCATTTTGGCACATTTAATAGGACATTTACTTAATTTATCATTATAATGAGTATAAATTATTAAGAATACAGATCTTAATTTTTTTATTATTTGCAAACAATTTGTAAATTGTTGACATTGTTAAAAAAAATTTAATGTTATTTAGAAGACCAGAAAAAGTAAATATTTTGGTGTGCTGTTAAATTGATGAGTTGCTGTACTCACTTATGTGATAGCATATGGCCCTTCAAAAAATTCAAGGGTAAAGTGCCGTCTTTCGTCTTGATTCTTAAGAAATTTTCACCGTCGAAAATTTAAATAGATTTAATATTAAAAATTTGGAAATAGTAACTCACCAGCAGAAAGTGTGGGCTTATTGTACAAAAATAGCATGGGTTCCTTCCTAATTTTGATTCCTTTCTATTTTCAATTGATTCATTCAAAATAATTTTGATATGATAGTCTGTCTTCCAAGCTTTGCAAACAATTTTTAAGAGAAATAGAATATATATCTTGCATTCCCCCAAAAGTTGTTGGTAGAGAGGGCTAGTGAACAGTTTTGGAAAGAATTTAACACAGGAACACTACTGATGACACATTTTGACTGAATTGAGTTTTATAGTCTTTTGACTCTAGTATTTTTCATTTCTCATCCTTGTTTGTTTCATACTGGAAATACTCATTTTTAAATGACAAGATTGCCCAGCTAATGGTTAATTTATCTTGTGAAAGTATGCTGGAACAGTTTTTTTATGATGATCTACTCGAATGTTACATGTTTCCTTGATCTTATGTTTTTGTTTTAATGGGGACTCCCCTTTACAAACTAAGTAAGACCAAGCCTTTCTTTGTTTCTTTTGATTTTTTAAGACTAGATGCATTTTGTTTGCTGGTCTTTTCCCTTCACATCCAATTCAGTGATGTGGTCCTTTCCGTATTACATCACATAAAAATGGCATTTCGCCTCATAATGTGTTGTTCTGTCACCTGAATCGACTTAGGTTGGATGTACAAAGACGCGTTCCGTTTCATTATCTGTTGGGCTATCTCCTTGCATCAGCCGTGTCTCCCCGGTGTCCTCTCCTGTGTAATCTCTCCTAAGCTGGATCCCACCTTCATCTCTTTCCAAGTGGTCTGCCCCATGTGCCTTGGAGGAGCTCGCCGCCCTCATGACGCCCCTCTCCCCGGCGGGGTTCCTCCGTTTGCAGATGGGCGACGTGCGTTACGTAAAGTCCGATGCCCACGCCGCGTGTGGAGAGTGTGCGCGGGTTGGGGCGGTCGGGTGACCCCGAGCAGGTGCCCGCCAGCTGCGTGTCAAGGGCGCACCTGTCGCGTGCGGATCAATCTCCCGCGCCCGGACACGCGTGCCTCGGCGGACGCAGGAATCCGCGAACGCCTCCCTCACCACCCCTTTCTCTCTCTCCCCCTCTCTCTCTCTCTCCCTCCCCTCCCGCTTTCTTCTCACTCACTCCCTCTCTCACACTCCCTCCCTCTCTCACACTTCCTCCCTCTCTCACACTCCCCCCTCCTCACCACTCCCTCCCTCTCTCAGCACCTCCCTCCCCTCTCACCACTCCCTCCCTCTCTCCACACTCCTCCACTCTCCCTCACTCCCTCGCCTCTCTTCACACTCCCTCCCTCTCTCTACCACGTCCCTCCCTCTCTCACACTCCCTCCCTGCTCACACTCCCTTCCCTCTCTCACACTTCCCCCCCTCTCTCACACTCCCTCCCTCTCTCACCTCCCTCCCTCTCTTCCACCCTCCCTCCCTTCTCTCACACTGCACCTCCCTCTACTCACACTCCCTCCCTCTTCTCACACTCACTCATTCTCCTCTCTCACCACTCACTCATTCCCTCCTCACACTCACTCCCCCTCCCTCTCTCACACTCACTCCTCCCTCTCTCACACTCACTCCTCCCTCTCTTCACACTCCACTCCCTCCACTCTCTCACACTCACTCCCCCCTCTCTCGCACCACTCACTCCCTCCCTCTCTCACACTCACTCCCTCCCTCTCTCACACTCACTCCCTCCCTCTCTCACACTCACTCACTCCACTCACTCCTCCCCACACGCCTCCCTTGTCTCGGCGCTGGGCGCGATTCCGTAGCTCCCCGACGCGCTCGCACTGGGCGACTACCCCTTCTTTTCTTGAGCGTCTTTCTCTGAACCATTTCGGTTTGGCGGACGCCCTGCACGTGCTTTCGTCTATCATCCTTCCTTACCCTGGATAGTTTCCACTCTAGATGCATCTACACCTTTCCGATTCGCATCTCACATATCGATTTCTATTGATTCTCCTTTCTACTACCCCTTCTCTCCCTCCCGTATTTGCTCTACGATCCTTCTCTTTCGTATCGCCTGTCTGATTTCCGCTTGTGTTCTTGCCCCATTCTACTTGCCTCATTTCCTCACTCTTTTTTTGGCTTAGCTAAAGGTTTGTGCTATGTGTTGCAGTGTGCACATAGCATCACCATCACTGATTCCTCACCATCTATGGTTCTTATGTAGATGAATGACAGTTTTTCCTGTGTGGTCCTGGTCTTCGTGCTGGTGCCGTCTTTTCCTCTCCCATTTTTGTCCGCTTCTCCTGTTGGGCCTCCTCGCTCTCCGTTTCCTCTCACCCTGCGCTTGCCCCGCCCCCTTCCGCTCGTCGCTCGGCAGTTGCCTGGAGCCACCTGAGCGCGCACGCGACCGCTCATCTCGCGCCATTGGCCAATGGCGCGACCGTCATTGCGCTCGCACGCGTTTCTCTCGTGCAACGCGACACTTTCTTTTTCTTTGAACGCGAGGAATATTTGTATGTGAAGCTTTTAAGTTGTTGCTTATTTTTATTTTATATTTATGCGAATTTTTAAAGAATTGTTTGCTACAATCTTACAAATGTCACTTTTTTTGTAATATTTTGTCTTATATTTTGAAAATATCGTTATTGTTAATGTAGTCATGCAGGAATTTATTTGTATATTACCATTAAAATTGTTTGTTTGAAATGGCTTATCAATGCTTTGAGGTCTGTATGTAATCATGGTTTTTGTTTTGGCAGCATTATGATAAATATATGAGGGATGGATTTTCTTGTTTTTGTTTATCAGACAATGTGGATGACCACTTTTATTAATGTAACTTTTTCTCTGTCTTCCTGTTTCAAGCAGTGAAGTTAAGGGAATGTGTGTTGTTGATTATGAATAAAAATGTGAACTACAGAGTTTTCTTGTGTTTAGCAATCTCTTTGAAGACCTGAATTCCATTTTTAACTGCTTGTTCCTCTTTAGTGGCCCTGAGGGGTGTTACTTTTTTTGTTAAATAATTGTCCAAAATTAGCATTGGAGGTCTGAGTTCAAAGCATCGATCACCCTGATGCTCCGTGACTTGCTAATCCAAGATAATATTGCAAGTGCTACATGACATAAATCAATTCCCTTGTCATAGCTAAGAAAACAACTTGATAATTTTCAACTTGTTACTAATTAGTGTTCAATCATGAATAACTACTTAAAATACTCCTACACTGAATAGTGCTTACTGTGTTTTGTGTGTCAAATCAGAAAGAAAATTTTATTTGAAAAATCAGTTGTTTCACAATTTTAAATGTAATTGATCTTTAATCTTGAAAACTTGGCATATTATCCACTTCACTTAGGTTGTGAATGTTTACAAAAAATTAGAATTAAAGATACTTTCAACCCTTGTAGTATTAGAAAATGAAACTTGATGCTTGTATAGATAAGCCTATATTTGTTTCCATATTGTTGGAAATATTGAGAAATATTATTAGGGAATTTGCTCAGTCCTTGACCAAATCTTGTGATCATTTCCCATTCCTGCTTCATGGTAGAATTTACAGTAGTTAATTGGAAATATTCTAAAAATGAAAATTATGCTACAGAAAGAATGTGTAAGAATGATAATGCTAAGCTAAATACTGTAAACTTATAAATATTTTTTAAAAATTTATTTTAGGTCTTTTGCATCTTCTTTGTCATTAGCAACCATCCACAACATTATTAAATAAAACATTTCTTTATGTTTAATGAGGAGGACTAAGTAGCTTGAAAAACAGTATGGGAACATCAAAATTGTCTGTGTTGTGTAATCTCTGGTGGCTAAATGCCTGAAAAACAAGAGGCTATTTCCTAACAAATGAATTGCACGCTTTTTTCCCTTCCTCTTCCATGTCCTACCCTCAACCATTACTTACATATACTCACATACTTGCATGTTGTTTTTTTTTTGTTTAATTTGTGTTAATTATTCAACAATCAATTTATTGTAATGTATGTTGTCCTCATGCACTGTTGTTTACACTGTAGCCCTGATGAAGAAATTATATTTCGAAACGTTGGCGTAACTAATTGTTTCTCTAAACACATTGACCCATCCCATGAACCGATATTTAATTCTTTAAAGTGACATGTCAAAATGCGTACATGGTAGATAGTTTTTATTTTAAATTGTATTTAAAATTATAAAGTACATTTGAAGTGTACAATTATTTTCCAGTTTGTTTTTGGCAAATTAACACTTTTTAGAAAACATTGAAGACATTCATAAATAAAACAAACATTTTTATTTTAATTATTAAAAGATAGGTAGTCAAAGAGTTGATGACTACAGAACAAGGGTTGAATTTTACAAGTAAAACGTTCAACGTTTTCAAATTTTTGATCCTTATATTGCGATTTTTTCAACTCAGCTGTTGACGGTTTCATCCAATCAGGAGCTTGAACGTCACTATGCTGATACCTGCCAGGGGCAGGGTTGGAAAAATCTCAGTATCGTCAATAAGGCAATCTTAAACGTAGAAATGGTAGCAATATACGAATTTGTCCATCCGTTTGTCATCACTGTAAAATTTAAAATGTATCCACGTACGTTCCATGCGTCGTTTATACGAGTTATGAAACATATGAAAATAAATTGTTTTATTACATGAGACTACGGGGGCTCTTCAAAAATTTCGGAGGGATCAACCCCCCACTCCCCCTATGTGCGCACTCTTATTAGAAAAGCACAAACCAAATGAATGATTTTTATTAATTTTTAATTATTTTTCTTTCTCGTTTATCCACGTTTATTTATATTTATTCAGCACATTCAAGAATAACATTGAGTAAACCTTCTTCTGATGGCTTTTTCCAGCCGGTTACCCGTTGCGTCCCTAATTGCGTACGCCTATTCGGCTAAACACTAGACATTGATACACTTCGCGGGCTCCTCTGATCTGTGGTCAGCAGAACGCGAGGCCTTCTGCGACGACACCTACACGAGAGACAAGGGACAAACAGCCATTACCAAGGCGCGACTCGAACCCGCGACCCTTCGGACCGAAGCGCTGAGTCGGTACACGCTCTTAGGCACCCCAGGTAGGCATGAAACAATGTAACATTGAAATCTTAATATTCATTCCCAATAATTTTTCATTCTGAAATACGACGCTCTTTGAAGCGCCCTATTGAAAAGTCTGCCCTACGTTCTGTCTTAGCCTGAAATGTGCTCACTCTCCCGTTCGACTCATGCAACTGTTAGTATGCCTACCTCGCAGGAGGACTGATACACAGTTTTTACTTTCCTTCATTATTGCTGCACTTAATTGCAGAACAGTGTGCTCCTTTCGACACACGTAATGCTATCCTTATTAATGTGTTTCGATACATGTCATATGTAGGGTTAAAACGTTAGTTCTATATAATTTTAGATATTATTTCATGACTTGCCCTTGAAATCCTACGAATATAAAACTATGAGACCAAGAAACAGCGCGAATTAATTTTTTTAACTAGTTCTTTATGAATACGTTTACACAAACAAAAATCCATATACTTCAGAAGCAGTTATCCGTAGTTTTACTTTACCTTCACCAGGATCGCTTGTTGATTTTGCGCTCATCCCCAACTAGCCAAAAAAGGGCTGAGCTGGGCTACTGTATTGCTTTATTGTCATTTTACTGATTACGGTGATTTAAATAGCGAAGTTGTTGATTGTAGAACAAACATGCGACAACTGGTATGAGCTGCCACTGCTGTTTTAACCGTGGTTATGGCGTATTTGCCTTTTCAAATCACCGAACCTTCTACAACAATTCCATCCGAAACTTCAACACAGTCGCACCACCATTGTGGTGATCTACCAGAAAAAGAGGTCATCAAATCTTGATACTTACTTTTTATCGTTTCGTAACCAAATTAATCGCAAACCAAATAAAAATTCTGAAATTTTTTAAAAGGTTGAACTTATACTCCATATTTTGGTATCATGGTGCTATTGAGTAAATCTTCATTTTCTTTGACGGTGTATAAAAAAAAGGAACATCATTCCCGTCATCGCAAACCAATGATTCACGCACCACGCGTTGAGAAGTAGGCGTACTGCACCTCAGGAATAAACGTTTTTGTAAAGAAAATTATTGTTCCCAGGCACGAATCACTTAACAAATTTGGAGTAGAATGGGTTTCAAGCAATTAATATAAGAAAAATACAAGTTACAAAATAGCAATATTCTTTAGCAATACG